CCTGTTGCAACAGTAGTACTGGCCAAAGAGGCCAGTCGTAATCTACATTCAGTCATCGTCTGCTCACAGTTACTTTAAAGACGTGTATAAATACCCAACTTCTTAGGTACTTATTTCCCAAGAGCGATGAGGCAGATACTCCAATATGACTAAAGCGCCCTTGCTGGCAAAACACATTAATTTGTGTCCGTGTGACAAGGCCTCATCCATTCTGCCCTTCTCTGAGGCAATCTTGGACACATTTAGCATGATGGTCTACTTATGACTCACAAATAACTCACCAGATTATTTCAGCCTGTTTGTTATTCAAAATCTTGTCTGAATGTTTGCTGCTAATTTTAATGTAAAACCATATATAAGCCTAACATCAGCTGTTAGACTGAAAAACAGTACCACAGCACCAAGTCCTGATTTTTGAACTAGGGGCTGATGTATGAATATTTGGCAGTGTGTGACGCCGAGGGCTACGTGCATGCAGGTGGCTGGTTCCCTGTCCTGGAACCTGCGCACTGACAGATGCTGTGGTGGGCAGCTCCTGTCACAGCTGTGGGGGTCCTGGAGGTGATGGGCTGGCTCAGAAAAGCAGGAGCAACAGAACTGTAGGCCTGAAAATGAACTCTCTCTCTCTGTGAAAAACTGAATAAAACTGTGCAGTGCTCAATAAAGGTCAGTAGTTTATCACAGTTGCCTTTTTTTGCTTGTAGGTAGCTGTCCAGCGGCCTCTACACTCCTGTTCGCTGGGAACCCCTCCTGAAGTGAAGGGCCCAAGATAAGCTGGTCCCATTGGTCTGATGTGATGCCCTTTTGCTGCTCGTGGATGGGCTGAGCTGCAGCTGCCAGATGTGGTCCTGCCCCGCCGGGAGGAGCCACCACCCTGAGCGTTCCGCCAGGCTGAGGTGAGTGTGAGCCTGGCTGACCCTCAGTGCCCAGCCAGGCCTCTGCTCCTGTTACCCCCGAGTACCACTCACCCCTGAATTTAATTTCAAGTTGAGTAGCTGTAACAGTTAATTGTAATAATGCCCTTGTGACCCAGGCAAAACAAAACAGAAATAATCAGGCTTAAAACAAACAAAAACCCAAAAGCAATACAGTGTTATTTTAGAAAAAAGGCACATGTATTTGAACTAATACTCCTGACGAGCGAGGACATGGATTTCTCTCAGGGCATCCTGCAGTCCTGTAGGGAAGAAGTGACCTTATTTGCATTTTTCTTGTTGAATTGCTGTCAGGATTTCTGTAGAACGGCAAGAGAAAATTCCTCCAGGAGACTATGGAAATATCACAGCACTAACTCAATACCCTTCAACTAGGTTCTTTCTCCCCAGCCCTAATTTCTTTGCCCCTTGCAAGGCTATCCATCCAGCCACCCAGCCCTAAGCACTGGGGCCCCTTCTTTCAGATGCAGCTGTTACCATTTTTATTACACTAGCTCCTGAAAGCAGCTGGCCAGGAATAAAATACATAGCGCCTAAAATGGAAACGTTAAAGATGGTTTAGAATTTTCCCTGCAGTTTCCAAATTGTTGAAGTTGCTCTTGCCTTGTTTCCAGAAATGAAAAAAAAAAAAAAAATTTTTCATTTCCCAGTGCCCTTCTTCTCCAGCCTTTTCTGAAAAACAGAGCGCGGATCCTCCCCCATTAGTACTTGTGCGTTTTCATACACCTGTCTAACAAATGCATTTTGAATTTGCTATGATTTTGGACACTTTTATCTGGAACACTTTCCATTCTAATCATGTCCTCCAAAGAAATTGTTTAGAATTTTTCCCAACATGATGTCCTGTCCCAGTTTCATAGCTATGTGTTGGATTTAATTATCTAACTCCTCAGCAAAGGTATTTCATGGCCCTAGCTGTAAGCCAGACTGCTGTAGAACTTACTTGAACTCATCTCACACTTTAATGACAACCAGTGTAGGCAAAAAAGGACTTTTGTAGAACTGTATCAGTTTAGTTTAAGAAAGATCTCTGTTTGCCAGGCCCTTGGTTTCAGCTTGGACTGGGAACCTCTTCAGTACCAGCTCAGAAATAAGAGCTCTGAGGTGGTGCTACTCACAGCCTGACTCATTAGCAGAAGTGGTGATGATGGAGGGTTATTTTCAAATCCAGGCTTTCCACTGTGGCTGCTCAGAATTCCCGGTCTGATGCCTCCCTCCTGAGTAACTAGAGATGCCGTGTGGGTCTAATAACTGAAGACGACTTTATCATTATTTTAATTATTAACAGGACAATCCTTTGAATTCCTTTGAAATCCTTCTTCTCACTGCCTATTGGAGTAATAAATTAAGACCTAAAGTCTAAAAACACATTTATCAGGAAGTCAAACACAAACCAGCATTCCTATTCACCACAGGAATTTAAATGCAGTTAAGCCAACACTCAGCATCTTTCAGATTGCAAACCAAATCTGATTAAGTTTAATAAATTAACTTTACCATCTCAATGCCTCCATGATTGTTGGTGGAGTTGTGATTTTTTTTTTATATATAATTGTAGCATAAGAACTTGTTAAGGATCACCTTCCCCGCGAGCTGCCCCAGCAAGTATGCGGAGCCGCACAAGTGCCTCGGAGATGAACATCGTGCAGGTCGGGCCTTCTTTGACTACAGCCCACAGTTACTGGTTCAGAAACATGCTCATCTCTCCTTTTACGCTCACTGTAGAATAATATGCACATACCAGCTAAACAGTAACAACATTACACATAAACACACACTTTATTATTTTTATATATTTGAAATATTTAGAGCTTGTTTCATAAAAAACTAACATGCTGGTTTTGTCCAAAGAAAGACAGCGTAATTCTGAATGTACTGTATAATATAATCTTTATTCTTTTTTTCCTCTAAACTCTTGGAAACTTACATGACAATCGTGCTTTAAGTATGACACCATTTATAGACATTTAAAATGCATCTTAATTTATAAATATTTTACATTTGGTCCATAGAACAGGTTGAAATTTACTAAATAATACTGTACTCTTTTAAACAGGCTCTGTATATATTTTTGAATATGTATATATTACATATATATTTTATATAGAGATAGATTTGCTTGGTGTTCAGATAATTCCTTATTGCAAAAAGCATATATGATCATACAATAATTTTTTTTTTCAGGGCAAGTACTACAAAAAAGATACAGCTATTCACAGTTTACACACAGTAGTTCTACAACACTATTTTGTGCTATGTGATACGTTTGTACAGCTTTTTGCTAAAGAGCAGGTCTGTCAAACATCTGTCATAATTGTTTACAATCAAACATTAAATACTGCATTTTTCTTAGAACAACATGGGACTTGATTACATTAAACAAGAAAGAGAAAGCTGGAATCTTTATCCTTAGTCTAATGAAATTCACAATTATTATGTGTATGTATCATGTATAATGTGTGTGTGGGATGTATGTTTTTCCTCTAAATCCCAAAGACTTACAGGACTTTTGCATTTCAGCTATAGTCATTTAGGATGTAGTTTAGATTTCAGAATATTTTACATTTGATCTATGTATGAAACTGTTTAGAATCTACCAAACAATACTCAGATTTTATGATGTAGTTTGAAATACATGTATATTATATATATATTATTTCTACAATAATGTGCTTGACATTCTGAGAATACCTTATTGCAAGAACATATGTTTGTCACCTTCAGACAAAAACAACAAAAAACCCAACATTCACAGTTAACATGTTTTTCACGTAGTAGTTCTACATAAATTGTGCTATCTAACATTGTACGTTGCACAAAAATTTGCTGAAAAGCATGTTTCATTGCACAGTTCTGTCAAAGTCATTTACAATCAAACATCAAATACTGCATTTTCCATAATCCTTTGTGTCTGTCTTATAGCTGCCAAACAAGAAACACCGTACAGGGCTAACTCGTGCATTCTCCACACAGGGAAAAACCCCATTAGCTGAATGGGCTTTCCAGCCATGTGGCAAATACAGATAGAGTCAAGAGTGGAGATTTTTATTGAAATAGCTTTTCCTCATGCCTTCATCATCACAAATAATAGGTAAATAAAATAAAATGTTTTCAAAGTGCTAAAGATCTATCTTTTATAATTTGCGTATTAGAAACTGTAGAAGTCCTTTAACAGATTAAACAGAAGAGTCGTCAATTAAACCTTAAATTAGAATTACAAGGATAAGCTTCAATCTTTAAGCCATTGTTTTGGTTTTTATTTTGGTGGCAATGTGATAATGCTATAACAATAATAGTGCAGCTCAAGTCCTCTGAGCTTGAACTGCAAATACTTTTTTTCCTGGGAATCTTTAGGAGCTCTTAGGAGTTGGATATTACTATTCATTTTGCTATAAAGTTAAAATTTGTATTTTTGCCTCTAAAACCTGCAATTCATGTAGCATTGATTCACAAACAAAAATATGTTCTTTTTGTAAGAAATAGTATATTTTAGTTTAAAACAAATTAATCTTTTTACGTGAAAATTATCCTGAAAGACTAGGTAGATATTTTGTTTATAGCCATTCTATGCTGTATTGCTACAAATAGCCATATAACTTAGTTTGCTCTAGGAACATTTAAAAAGGCTGCATCTGCCATGACTCCAAGTTAATTGAAATAAGTCTCTCCCCTGCAAATGGCATTTACTGGAACAAATTTTAAGGGCAGACTTTTTTCCACTGGAAATCACCTGTTTACAAAATACTTCATTCTTGTGTACAAAACGATTTCAAAATTAATTTTACTCCTGCAAAATCAGAAATAACAGTCTTGGGATTCAGCAGTAAGAAATACTGATAAACTACTAAAAATCAGCAGCACAAAACTTCAAATTGTTGTGCTAAAAGGTAGATTAAAAAGGTCTTGCACATCAGTTTACAAATTCCAAGATATGCAACTATTAATGTGAAAGGATAAAAACATTAACAGTCTGTGGATTGCCAAAGAACACAAAACACTGTCAACATCTGAGCTCACACAATGGTTGGATCATACTCATGGCGATTCCCTTAGAGTGGAGATGACCTTTTTTTCTTTTTTCTGTTTTTTTTTTTTTTGCCACTAGAGGTAGGTAATTATATTCTCAGACATAAATTTGTGGTCATATTCAACCATATTTTTTGTTTTTCTGGAGTAGCATTGGTACTTTTACAATATGGAAGTTTAGATATAGGCTTCTTTGTTTGCAGAGTTGCTCTGCTGGGCCTGATCTGGAGCATTTTCAGGATGACTGATGTCCTCACTTGGCTGGATCATTACTTGGATGCGCTGTTTAAAACAAAACGAAAGAAATGAAACAGTCAACAGGTGTTTCTGGGGAGCTTTTGTTTGTTTGTGTTAATGCAACCCCTAAACACTTCCCTCTAGGTGTTGTGGCTACAATGAAGAGTTTTGTCTATTCTAAGTCAATAGTTACAGTCAGTCTGTAAATGTTCTCAGACAGTCCGAGGTCTGTTCTGAACATCGTGTTTTGCTGAAAGAGCACAAAATGGTAGGTGCCACCGGGCATTAAGATCTCAGAGTGGTTAGTTTTGTCAGACTGCAGGATGTGGGAGGAGAGGGGGAACTCTGCTAGGAGTCCAAAGTCAGTCTCCATTTGTGCTTAAGTATTTGCCTTGGAACAAGGGAAATATATTCAAAGAGTATGAGCTAAGAGCAAGCATGTTTCCAATAGAAAATGTTTGCTAGACTTCTGTGAACTATCGCTTAGTCTTTTCAAACTTGCTGAGGACAAGTGTTTGGATCCAGATCTGAGCAGTTCACAGGGCTTTACTAGTCAGTTCTGCTTAAGATCATCTATCTTTTTGCAAGGATGGCTGTGTCAGCTAATTTCAGAGTATTCCAGAAATTCCAAATCATTTTGACAAGCTTTGGTTCTCAC